TTTTTAATATGTATTTGTACTATTGATCACATTCAGCTCTCATTATTATTCATTTATTTATTTTTGAAACAGGGTCTTCACTATGTAGTGCAGACTGGCTTTGAACTCATTTATGTAGCCCAGGCTGACCTCAAACTAATTGTGATCCTCCTGCCTCAGCCTTCTGAGTGTTAAGGTTACAGGCATGCACCCCCATGCCCGGCTCTTTATTTGGTACAGGGTCCCATTACACAGCTCAGAGTCCAAGTGATTCCCCTTTTTTCAGCCTCCCCGGAGCTGCGATTACAGAGCAGGCACTTAGTCTGCTGAGCTATCTCACCAGCCTGAATTAAAGAATACTAAGTCTTCCTGAGACATCACATCCGACTCAGGCGATTATTAATAATTATTAATTACACCAGACTTCTCTGTTAGGTTTTATCTGCAGCAGCAGTACAGCAGAGAAACAGCAATTAAGGGGTGGAGAAGAGGTGAGAAGCCTTTAACTCTGATGACACAGAGAGGACCGAGGGCAGGGAGATGGGCAGATCCTCTGACCTGAGACAGGAGGCTGAGACTGTGTGGACTTCGCTAGGGCGGGGTTTCAGGGGCAGGGCTGATTGGGCGCTCCCTTGTGCGGGCGGGAAAGGTGAGTGGACGTTGTGTCCAGGGCTCGAGTAGGGAAGGAGGAAGTGGTCATTGGGAAGGTAAGCTGTTGTTTGGGCGATTCGGCCCTGTTGAATCAGGGCCATGATAATTTAGCAGTTTGTACTCGGGCCAGAATTTATTCCATTCTGGGTAAATATCCTTTTATTTTTGGTTTTCTCCTACTCTTCTGGTTATTTCCTTTCTTCTGGTTATTTCCATAATATCTCTTTTGTAGGTCAATCTGTGTCTCTCACCGAAGGAGGAAATATAGATTCGAAGGCTTCGCTGTTAGTCTCCCATTTTCTCCTATTTAAAGCCTAAACGCGGTGTGGTGGCGCACACCTGTAACCCTAGCACTGAAGCGGGGACAGGATGTCAGCTTGAGGTCAGCCTGGGCTGCAGAGTTAGTTCAAGGCTACCCTAAAAGACTGTCTCAAAAAAACAAAACAAAACAAACTCTGGATAAATGGATAAATAAGTACTCTAGCTAGCGATCCCAGTCTTTTTCATTCATGACACCTGAAAAACAGTAATATTTGACCTGTACAGACAGAGCCGGAGGAAGCGGTGTGAGGTCAGAGGAGTGGAGGGGCTCCGGTGGCTTTCAGTGTGGAGAGTTGTATCTGCCTTAAGCGATTTTTATTCACTTTCCTGAGCTCAGAGTTTTATTATTCAAATAGCTGAGCTTGCATTTTACCCTTCGGACTTGTCTTTTGGCTCTCTCAGTCTTCCAAGAATGCCACCAGTGGAAGAAATTTCTATATCATTTTAAATGCTTTTACTGATCTTATATTTGGTTTAGCCTCACAAACCTCCCCCTTAATAATTTCTTCGTTTTGTTTGCTTACCACTCTGACCTTGACAAGACTATGCCGGATGACATCCAAGGCCCGGAGGCCACCATCCCCACCAGCAGCGAGCAGCTTCGCCTCTTCGCGTTTGAAGCACAAGTCAATGAGAACTTTGAAGTGGCAGCAGTGTATTATGAAGAGGTAAACACCTTCTCGTGGTGGTGTTCCTATTATTGGTTAAATATGGTATACAGTGGTCCCTGTCCCTTATCGCGGAGGCTACGTTCCAGACACCCTTGCGATAAGTGCAAATCAGCAAAGTAATGATGCTATGTTTATTTTAGTAATACAATATATGCTTTATAAACCTTCCCACATTCTTATAAATGTTTCCCACACTTTTAAAAACACTTCTAATGTTCTTAACCATTTTTAAAACTCATAAACTAAAAAAAAAAGAGAGAGAGAAAGAGGCCAGGGTGGTGGCTCAGTGGAATAAGCGCTTTCCTGGCAAGTGCAATCCCTGGTTCCACAAACAAACAAACAAACAAACAAACAAAAAACCCCTCATAAACCTACATAATTTTAACAACATACATATACTGTATGGTACTGTGAAATCCTGTGATATAGCGAAAAATCCGCTATAGATAATTTAAATCAGTATTTTTTGAAAACCTGCAAAACGATGAGTGTGCAAAAGTCAAACTGAAAAATAGCAAGGGACTACTCTAATAGTAGTTTTGATTGCTTAAAACTTAATTGATGAAATCCATCCATCCATCCATCAGTGAAACAGAGTTCAAAAATAAGCTACACAACCGAGGTCATTTGATTTTTGATAAGGGCATAAAAGAAATTCAGTGGTGACAAGATAGTCTTTTTAACAAATTGAGTAGAACAGTCAGTCCTATATATGCAAAATAAATGAGCCTTAACCAAACCTTAAACATTTTATAAAAATCAATGCCAAATAGGTAATAAATCTACATGTAAAACATGAAGCTACAAAACTTTGAGAAGAATCATGGGAGAATATTTCCTTGACCTGGAGTTTAGAGTTCTCAGATATGAGACCAGAGGCCAAAGAAAAATGTGCTAAGTAGAACTTCATCAGACAATAAAAGAACTGTATCTAGGTTATAAAGAGCCCTCAAAACATTTGTATGTGTAATTTACATGCTCAGTATTACATGGAATGTAATAATTATATACTATAAATATGTGTAAAAATAAAAATTGAAAATAAGTTAAAATAATATTTGTGTATAAGCATTTGTTTCACTACCCATTTTTAATTACTCAGATATATACCAAAGAATGGAATTACTGGGACCTATGGTGAATCTGTGTTTTTAAGGATTTTTAATGGGATTTTATGTGGATTTTATGTACATGTAGATTGCTTTTGGTAGTATTGACATCTCAACAATATTAAATCAAGAAGATTATCTTTTCACTCTTTTATGTGTTTATTAATTTCTTTACCCAATGTTTGTAGTTTCCACTTATAACAAGCACCTTCCTCTCACCCAGACTTGTAGATAAACTCATAATTGCCATCTCAAGATTATGGCAGGTTATTATTATTTTTATTATTGCTATTATTATTTTTTTTAATTATTACTATTATTTATTTTAGGGGAGGGTCTACAGGGTGTTCAGGGTGTCACTATTAGATCGGACTTGAAGTGATCCACCTGTTAACAGCCTCCCAAGTGCTGGGATTACAGGCGTGCACCACCACGCCCAGTCTCAGTGGGTCCTGGGGGCAGGGCCGGCATGGCAGGCCCAGGGATCGAACCCCCCGCCCCTGCACCTGCTTGTGGGTACTTTAATCTGCTGAGCTATTTGGCCAGCCCTAAGAAATTATTATATGAACTTGGCAGAATAGGAAGTGAACATTTAGGCTGCCAAAGTATGGAATGAATTTTGAGTGACTATACATTGAAAAGAAATGTCTTGAAGACTCTACGAGGGGCTGGGGAAATAGCTCAGCACTGTAAGTGCCTGCACTGTAGTTGAGTCCCTGTACCAAATTAATTAATTATGACAGATGCTAAGATTGTTTGAACAGTATTTTGACCACCTTCTAAAAACCATAACAAAATTGTGCCAAGCTTCTGGGATTCCAGGGTAAGCAAAAAAGCAGCCCTTGTGGTCAAGGAGATGGCTCAATGGAATAAGAGCTTCCCTGGTAAGTGCAAGGGCCTGAGTTCAATCCCCAGTTTCAAAAAAAAAAAAAAAAAAAAAAAGCAACCTTGGTGTCTTGCCTTCACAGAACTCAGTATCTGTCTAGGGCCTGTTGTGTGATGTTTTATGCACAAAAATCCAGATGTGGAGCTATAATAACCTTAAGCCTTCCTATGTTTTGCATGCCTAGAGGTTGGTCCGTGAGCCCCAGAACCTGGAGTACTGGCTGGATTATGGTGCTTTCTGCCTCCTAATTGAAGACAACATCAAAGCACAAGAGTGTTTTCGGAAAGCCCTATCTTTGAATGAGAGTCATATCCAAAGGTAGAGCTAGAAGGGAGATTAGAATGAGCAGAAAGAGATAAGCTTCTACATGCAGTAGTCCTGCTTCCATGCTTATGGCATGGGCCCGTGCTATTAACCATGTTAGCTGTCTCTTCCCAGCCTGCTGCTGTGTGGTGTGCTTGCTGTCTTGATGGAAAACTATGAGCAAGCAGAAATTTTCTTTGAGGATGCCACTTGTTTGGATCCAACCAATGTTGTAGCCTGGACTCTACTTGGTATGTTATTTTCCAGTGATACTAAAGCATTTTTTCCATTATAAGACTGTCTTCTCAGCACTTAGGAGGTTGAGGCAACCTGGGATACATAGTGAGACACTGCCTCAAAACAAAGGAAGCAAACAAACAAACAAAAAAAGACTTTTCTCTTCTACTCTTCAATGGTTGATAATGTGGCTCTTAAACTTTGGGAAAAATAAATGAAATGTTACAAAAATTCTTCATTAGGGGGCTGGGGAGATAGCTCAGTGGCCTAAGTGTTTGGCGGGCAAACACAAGGTCCCAAGTTCAATCCCTGGTGCCCCCCGAAAAAAAAAAAATAAATACAAAAATTCTTCATTTTGTGATCATAGAAAATTGGTCATATTTATTGCAACAGTTTTTTTCCTCAGGTTTATACTATGAAATTCAAAACAATGGTATTCGGATGGAGATGGCATTTCATGAGGCCTTCAAACAGCTTCAGGCACAAACGTTTCAAACACAAGTAATGATGCAAAAGAGCACTGGAACTATCGAGGACAATGAAGAAGGAAAGAGGATAGAACCTGCTCCAAGCACCTGGGGAGTCACAAAGGATGCTTCTGTCACAATTCTCAAGGTGGAAGCTCCACAAGGTAGGAGCAGGGAGTGGAGGTGGAGGGTGTCTGTTAGGAAAATTCTCTGCCTTGTGAGTGGGTCCTGGACCAAGGGGACCTGGCCCGAGCAGGCACTAAGTAAAGACCTGTTAAACGGATATGTCCTAGTTGTAGTTATTTCAGGGATATCACGATAGACTTCTAAATATTTCTTCTTTCAGAAGATTAGTGATCTGAAACTTCTGTTGATGCTGTTATTTGAATCTTATAAAACTTACCATTCTCTTAAGTACACCTGAAAAAGGGATAACATTCTAGAATGATTCTCCTTTCCTCTCCATTCCTCCCCACCCTCGAAGGTTTCTGTCTTGTAATTCTTAAATTTATTGTTGCTTATGCGCCCCTTCCTCCCTGTTCTTCATTGCCGTTCTCTTTTTTTCTACTTTAGGAAACCACTCATTCCCGTGTGTGTAATACGTGCACTTGTATTTGTGAGCTTCTAGTATAGGTGCATTATTTTGTGTGCATGCATTTTAAAGCTCAAGGTACAACTGACATTTCATAAGCTGCACCTACTCAGCACTTAATACATTTTGGCACATGGGCCCATCTATGGAAATGTTACAGTTAAGATAACAAATGCTTACTTCCCCATTCCCAGTTCCGGCTTTCTCTTGTTCCCTTTTCCAGATGACCACTAATCTGCTGTCACTAAAGATGAATTTGCTTTTTGTAGTAATTTTTAGAATTTCTAAATTAGAATTATATAGCACATACTCTTGTTTTTGTTTTGTTTTTTGTGGAACTGGGGATTGAACTCAGGCCCTTGTGCTTGCCAGGCCAGCGCTTATGCTGCTGAGCCATTTCCCTACCCCCCATACTTTTGTATTTTTGCTGTTTTTCATGGAGCATGTTCAGTTATGCTGTTGCTGATATCACTGAGCCCTTTTTATTGCTATGCTGCATCCACTTTGATAGACACAACACAATTTCTTTATATATTCATCTGTTGATAGATATTTGGGTTGTTTCTTTTTTGTGATTATTGAAATAAAGCCACCCTGGACACCATACTGCAAGTTTGTGCCTGGACATATGTTTTCATTTCTCTTGTGGGGCTGAAATACATAGGAGTTGAATGGTTAGGACCACAAATTATTTAGCCAGTTGATTTTAATTT